GTTATATCGTTATCGCAAATTTTCAAATATATATCGTGATAAATATTTTTGGCCATATCGCCCTGCTCTAACTGAGACACACCACCTACCTATCAGCTGTTGGCGAAGACACTTGCTGACGGCAGCGGTCGTCCCCAGCAGGACAGTGCACCCCACCACACCACAAAACTAGTCAGGAACATGACAAACGGTCCGAGATGTTGGCCCGGTCTCCAAACTCCCCAGATCCCAATCCGAGCCAGGATGTTTGAAAAACAAGCCCAATCACGGAGGCCCAACCCTACAACCCCAGGAACCCAATGTCTCCATTCCCCCTGGAGTCCCACGTCCATGCCCCGACGGGCCAGAGCAGTGTTGGCACCATGAGAGGGGACCTACATAATATTAGACAGGTGGATTTAATGTGGTGGATGATGAATGTGTGCACTGGTGATTGAGTCATGTGATCACCCTTACACTCATGTTGGTTTCAGTTCATTCATGTCACATGTTCAGCTACAGTCATTATAATGAATGTCACTGTTCACTTTCACCATGCCCTCTATCCTGCCAGTTATATTCATCTGTTTATTAACCTTGCTGTCTGAAATGACTCAGAACATCATGAAAGCAACAGGTGCAGCCAGTAAATCAGTGATGGTTTATGCAAGAATATAAAGCTACAGTTAGTAGTCAGGCTGGTAGGAAGTAGAGGAAAGTTCAGGTTTAAGCACCACACCCACAATCCTCTGTACTGACTCATCTTGTTAACATGCTGAAAAACCTGCTATATATGTATACACAACTCCAGCCCTCCTCACTGTAAGGCCTTAGAGTGCTGCTGCACCTTTAAGGAGGAAAAACTCACACACTTGGAAACACTTCAACTGGACACATAATTCCAGTCCTAGTTATCACAGTAGTTATTGTCATATGGTCCCCATGAGATGTTTTTAATAAAATAGTTCAGGTTTCTGAGTCGCGGCAGCATCAGTGCTGTCACCATTAGCAGCAAGACAGCACAGGTACATGAGTGAAACTGTGGGCAAATACAGTGTGCAGAAATAAAAGCTACTAAGCAATAGGGGTGGGGAAAAAAATCGATGCTGTGTAGTATCGTGATATTTTGTTTGCTAATAATGTATCGATACAGGGACAGCAGAAATCGATATTTTGTTACAAAAAAGGTTTTTGTGCTCTGACTTCAGAGCACGTTGATCCTTTTTCTGAGCAAGAATCCTGACATTCCTTCACTGTCCAAATGTGTTTAACTTTTTGGCAGCAATAAACATGACAGTTTACTTATTTTAATTTAAGACATGTTTTATTTTAATTAAGTTTAAAACTTTTTTATTTAATGTAAAATTATATTTTGTTTTAATTTACTTTCAAATTCTTCAGTTGCTGAAGGGGCTGCATAGTTTTCATAAATTGCATAGTTCAGAATAGCTATAATTGTACCAGATGGTTGCATTCAGTTAAGTTGGACTAGACTGTAATACAAACCGTTCAGTTTGTCAACAATAAAACTGACTGAATGAGAGAAAGACTGAGTGCGAGACTTTGATATTAGATAAAATGAATATTGATAAAGTTTACCTTTATGTACAGAATCTGAATATCGCAAAATATTTTAAAAAATTGCAATAATATCGTATCGTGGGATGTATGGCGATTCCCACCTCTACTAAGCAACATAAAAACATGAGTGAGCAAGAGCAAAACTTCCAGAACAACATGACATCAAAGACATAACAACTGAACTGAGGAGGTAAGGAAGATGCTGGGCTTAAAATAAGCATCACATTATAGTTTCTTGACACTTGATTTGTCTGCAGAACTCTGAGAGAAGTTTGATCATTCATGGGCCTTGCTCGCTTGCTCGCCAAAAGCTCCTTGGGGAAGATACAGAGCTGCTCTCGAGGCGTTCTTCACAATGAATGATTGACAGAACAGCGCTTAGATGTAGAAAAAGAACAAAAAAGTGCTGTGTGAATGGGTGAATGAGACATGCTGTATGAAGTGTTTTGAGTGATCGAGTAGAGAGTAAAAGTCTATTTACAACTGGTAAGTCAGATAAAGTACCCATGAACCATTTTACATTTTCACCACTTCATGTATCCACCAATCATGGTAGCTTCATCATTCTCTGCTGCACGCACACACATACATACACTTCGTCCCTGTCATCACCCACAGCAGACGAGATAAGAGCAGAGTTTACCCTGATAAGGCTAAATTATGATTCCATGTGCTCACCTGTTTTTGCACCTTCAGATTTGTTACTTTGATTAAAACAAAACCCAACAACAACACAATTATGGTCTAATTTGTCTACTCGGCATTATCAAATCATTTTGCCCATTTAAAGAACTTTGCCACTGACATTGACGTTGTGTACCTTAGCGGCAGGTGCTGCTGTATCTTGGTGATGAGCCCCATGCTGGGATCCGACTGCATGTACATGGTGGCCAGGATTCCTATGGCAACGAAGAGCCAGGATGACGGGCTGGCAGGGTACACTCCTTTAATCAGACTGTTCTGTTAGCAGAGAAAAAGAAACTATTCAGCGGTGGCTCTGAAACAAAGTGTAGGTCAGACCTTCAGAGGTGAAAAACCATCTTCCATTAGCAGCTTTAATAAGGAACTCATTACAGATGTGAATATGATCCAGCACACCTGGTTTCACAGCTGTGTGGTTTCAGATCATTTTTATAAACTTTGCTCTAAAGCCAAACATGACACTGATGTGTTTCTTAATGTTCTAATCATGAGTGGGGAAACATTTATGGGTTTCAACTGTGTTTGGCCTCATTTGATTTCATACACTCACCAAGAAACACTGAAGGTTACAAAGAGATTGTTACTGAACATAATGACTTCCCAAATATTAACAGCTGTCACCCAGAAGGGCAAACATCATACCAGGGTTACCCAGGTAGACCACGTAATACTGCCATGTGCAGTCAGCCCCATCCTGGACACGAATGACCCGCCTACTTCTCACAAAGGTAACAACAAGTAGAGAGTGCTGATTTGGCGGAAACACTGAAATTTAGTCAACGTTCAACTGCATACAGACTTCTGATGTGTGGCAGTATAAAACCACCTGACCACACGTGAAGCACGTCAGTGAATGTGAAATAATGGTAATCCTCTTGCAGCTGAAATGTTAACAAATCTTATATTGACAAAAAAAAAAAAAAAAGTAACAATGAAGGCATTCCCTTCCTGATTAATGGTATTCCAAGTATACCACGATAACTGTCAGTGAAAAGTAATAATTTTGAAAAACAGACATAATGACAGGACAATTAACAACATTTAACCTGTTTGTTTGCATTACTGATGAAGCTCAACACACACAGGCCTTCTCTGGATTTTGGTTGCTGAACAAAAGCTTAAAACTGAATCAGTCGATATCATTACAGCGGTGGTGCTGCCAGCAGGGAAGCTGCAAACTCTGCAACATCAAACCCAACATGGTTGAAGGGCGTTTCTCCCGTTTCTGCTTTTCTTTTCGTTTTCATTTATTGGCTGCTATAAACGCCAATACCAATATATCTGCAAATAGCTAACATTGATAGATGTTTTGGCCCAGCTGATAAATCCATCAGGCACAAATCAGTAGAGATATTACAATAAAAAGTCCAAAGTCTAGGTTTTATTTTCATTTCAGTTAACTAAAATATTTTTCTCTTATTAATGCTTACAGATACAGACAGGTTTCACAGCAGCATCAAAGCACATCCTGCAGGTGTTTCAGGAGCATGAGTCCATAGTGAGACTGCAGGTGCACTGTAGTGTTTAAAGCTGAAACCCTTTATCAAGCAGGAAGAAACATTTCGCCTGATATGAGACTTTCTTTAAAGCAGTTTGTTACCTCAGCTCCTGCACAGCTGATTTTAGAGATGGACCGATCTGATATTACGTATCGGTATCGGTCTGATACTGATGTAAATCACTGGATCGGATATCGGAGAGAAATAAAAAATGTAATCCGATCCATTAAATATCAAAAAAGCACCTCACAAAACTTGCGACACGGCGTAACTCAGCTCGTAGCACGTCGGAGCAGTATGCATCACGTGATAGAGCGACTGTGGCTTCCAAGACCTGTTGTCTGGTTGAGTATTTGTAGCCTCGCTACCAACCCGGCATTTCATCTCCGAGGAAGTGATCCCAAAGCAAGTGTGTAAGTCCATCTCTGAATGTTTGTAAAGCTTTGTAGTCTGGGAAATACGGTACTTAATTATCCTTGAAAAATAATTTATTTTTGTGCATTTTTTTTAACTGCATCAAATTAAAGTTGATTACGTTGATTAAGCATCATGAGGTGGGGGTGGGGGTGGTTCCCTGTTTTTTGGGGGGGGGTTTTGCTGGGAGTTTTAAAGCCCTATTAGTTAGGTTGCTTACTCTTTAAAATACCAGAATAGGGAGGATGGAGCAGGTTTAACTTTGTTAGATTGATCAGTGTTGCTGAACTATGAAATATTTTGGGTGCAGTGTATTTTTTGCATGCAGGTATAACAGAATAGCTTTAGTGGGTTTTTTTA